AATTATTAGCTAACACAGCCACACTATTTGGTAGGCTGGTAAGCTGAAATGATGTATCTTTTGGAGAACTACGAGTCCATCACTCTCAAATGACTAATATTTCCTCTCCCGATTAATTTCTAACAGCTGCACAGTTGTACAGTTATTCCAGATGTTTTAACAATGAGCAGCTGTCCAAAATTGGAAATTGGAATAAATCAGTGCTATTAAAGCTAATAATTTAGAAAGGGTCAGTATACATATTCACAGATATCTGGGAACACATAATTACAGGTACATAGGTATGACTTTGTCTGGATCTACTATAATCATCCTTTACAGTATTTAGCAACTGATGTTCACTTGGTTTTGGATAAAATATAAGGACCATACCATATAAGGGTGATTCAGAAGGTAATTGCCTGTGGACCTAACTGCCAGAATTGTAAAGAAATTCTAGTAAATACAAAGTGTGACTGCTCCTGCTTGTTTGAAAAGTTTTGCATCTTAGAGTTAATCAGGAATACTGCAAGCATCCAACTAATTACGGGTATTATGTAAATGGAAAGGAAACTAATACAACTTTGCATTTTTAATTTATCCTTTCAATTTATTTATTAAGGACTTATAAACATTAAAGTAAGAATCTGAAGAATTAAAAAAGGTATTCAGAAATGTTTCACTAAGAGGAGTTTTAAAAAAAACTTGATATTAGATGCCTACTTAAATTCTTATTCTTTAATCAGTTTGAATGGCCCTCAAACTATGATTAGAAAGACATAAAAACCTTCAAGTAAAACGACAAATGAAAATCAGTAATCCTTCGAGTTTACAGGTGTTCCCCTTCCCGTTAGACTGAGTGTGGCAAGACTAAATTAATGAATAAGAACCAGCAGATCACAGCATGACAGGAAAACGCTGACAATCCATGGCAGGACGGAGTGGGTTGAGGAAGAAGGTGACTTTGTGACAGCCCTGTGCTGGGGTGGCTCTTGGCCGGATGATCAGGGACAGGCTGACCTCCCACGCAGAATTAGTCATCTCTTTACACCACTTTTTTTCTCCAATAAAGACTCTTATTCAACCTTCTAGCAACCTTCCTTCACATTGCTGTTTGGCCGCCCAGGCTTCTTCTCTCCCACACACACACAGAGTCAGCAGCCTCTAGACATAATCATTTATTGTTCAAATTTCCACAGGGATGCAGATCAAGGGCTTGTTAAATAAGTAGTTGCTAATTTCCAACATTATTTCAACTTAACTAAAATAAATTGAAGAATTAGACTAGTTTTAATATAAATACAGCAGGATGTTAACTGTTCTAATTCTCCCCTTAAGGAACCTGTTGCCTTTGTTTAGCTGTTATTGTATAAAGGTCTCATTTGCTTTTCTCCTTGAATTGCAGACTTGATGCTTTGTGAGCAAAATGTGGAAACAGAACGCAATAATAATAAAGATATCAGTGGTACCTGCAAGTCCAGTTCACTCAAGAACACGCTACCTTTTGGGTTTACACATGCTGTTAAATATGTACAACAGAGGCTTTCTGTTCATCTGTGTGCATGCAGTTCTTCTCCCTAGGGCCTTCGTCTGAAATTGAAATTGCACATGCACTGTCACATCAGACATCCATTATTATTGCCGGAGCACCCTCAAAGAAATATTTCAAACAGCATTCCTCTTCAGCCGAGCATTGATTTCTCTCCCTTCATACTTTCTCCGAAACAGTTTCTCACCCACCTACAGTGTCTTGACAGATGTAAATACAGGCGAGTTTAGCCAAATCAGTTTCTATTCTTGTGATTTCTGTTAAGTTCTAATGTAATCCAGGGGAACTGCTGAAAGAAAATACAGAGAAATACAGAAAGAGAGAAGCAGATGCGGATATACCGACTTCTATCTCCTCAGTTTTTGTATCTTATATACATGTCTTCTACGGCCACTCCCTCCCCAGCACAGCCCCAGTCACATGTGGCTTTCTGAAGTCACACTCTGCCTCAAAGCAACACTGATGGTAAAAAAAAAAGGAACTTGCAAAAACAAATCTCCTCCTCTTCTGTTTATTTGTGTTGTAGTGCCATGAGTCATAAAAATATATTTCAAAATTCCTGTCTCTTTTCCACCCAAGCCTGATTTCCCTTTTGGACATAAAAGTCCGGTAATAACAAGAAACATATGAGAAGAAAATGAACGCTAGACTGTGATAAAGGCTTTCGATAATGCATTTACTTAGCGATAGGAACTGCTGTGACTCAGCCTTTCCCTGGTCAGAGAAATAAACAACTAAACACATCACAGGAACTGACATGTTTTACCTGCTCACAGGAACCAGACAAAGCCACAGAAAAACAACCCAGACAAACAGTTCATATTTACTGAAAATGGGTTATTTCAATCACCTCCTTTGGATGTGTGGTTGTTGAGGGTGCATTAGCTGATGGCCTTTGAGTCATATCACTGCTTACTGCTGTAGGCAAACAAGTGCTTGGGCACCAATGGCAACCAGCTGACCACGCAGTCAGGGTATATCGATATCACTGTGAGCAGTACGTGACATGAGCACCTGTTGTGTTAAGCACAGGCTCAAACCTGTGGCCACTGCAGACTCATAATAAACATGTCGCAAAATTCTCTGCTGTCGGCAGAGCTGTGCCCTCTGGACAGGAAACTGGTTGCTGATGGAAGAGGAAGTGTGATGGCAAACACATTCAGAGCAGGGAGTGTACCATGGAGAGGGGAAGAGACGGGATGCCAAGTTGGATGAAAAAGCGTGGAGTCACATTCCTACCACATCTGGAAAGAATTGCACACACCGGCTACAGAAGAACACTGGGTACTTGCACTCTGCCAAGCACACTCACTCACGTGCCGCCATGCCCAGCACAGCCTCTCCAGTGAAGAGTGTGTGACTTGAATGTCTTACAGGACTGCAAAATAAGCTACGCAAACACTGCCATCCAGTGGGGATTCAGCTGTCTACATGGCTGGTAATGAATCTGAGAAGAACAGGCCAGACTGACTGGGGTTTACATTACTCACACTGCCGTCTGGCTGCGACTGGCAGAGTTAAAACAGATCTGTGGATCAGAGCCTCATTAACTTTCCGGTCTAACTCCCCTCTTAGTTTGCTTCCAAGAGCCACATTAAGTAACCACAATATGCTTTGAAATAGTTCCAACTACTCAGAAATGTACTTTTATTGATGTTAGGAGGTTTGATGTAACTCCACCATTTTGTTTTCTCTATTTTACACAGGCAGAGTTAGCTAGACAGGTTTTATTCCACTTTAAGCTATACTTTTGTGCTCTACCTGGATGAAGGCTCTGTTAATTATACTGTTCATTACTAAAAACAAGGATATATATGGCAGCATGTTGATACGAAGGTGGGATTGAGTTACATAACATCAGCACAGATAGGGCACTGAAAAACAAACAAACTAAACAACTTTGTACAGAGCCATGTTTTACTGGCATGTTCTGCCATAGTTTATATCTCATTCTTGCAAAAAGTGTTAAAAGAAGCAACTAAAGGTTATTCCTGAAGATAGGCCTGCAAAATAAGTATTCTTTGATTTTATTTGAAGTATGGCTTCAAATGAATTAAGATTATTCTTTTTCATGCTTTCATGTTTTATATGTCATATGTTTGATGTTGTTATGTAATTTTACCATAATGATGTGATATTGCTACAAACGGTGGAGATTACTGACATAACTTATGAACTGTATGTGGTATAAGAATTAAACATTTGTTTTTTATATTGGAATTGTTCAACATGGATCTATGGAAGATAATTTGTCACCAAGGTAATAATCAACATGGATGCAAATAAACAATAAGCAATAAGAATGAGAGTAAGAATAGGAATTACAACGAATGCTTCCGATATTTACACACAAAAACCGACTAACATTCAATTTGATCTTCATTACTTTAAAGGGATTACAAATTATCTACCAGAAAGACAACCCACAAATATCTGTCAACCATTTTAATTCAGTTTCATACATTTTCAGACACACTGAGATTATATCATTAACGTGGTTTTGAAAACATTCTACAGTTGTATGCATACATTAAAGTATCCAGACTCGTTGTCTAATAATGTTAGAGATGTAATAAGACCCCTATTTGACTTTAATTACGATATTCAAATAGCCAATAGTTCCATCTAAAATGGTTTAAATTCTCAAACAAAAAGTTTGAGAGCAATGACATTTTTTTAAAAGACATCGTCATTTACTGATGTTAAAATCAGTAAACAATTAATATTTAAGGAAAAACAAACCTTTACGCTGAGAATAAAACCTAAGAGAAGAATATATTAAACTTTCCTCGTTCCTCCTGACAGAATGCACCAAAAAATTAATCAAACAAATTAATCAAACATCAGCTGAGAGCGATCTCAGCTGCCCAATAATTTTTTTCTTGACCGCTGTGCATCACACACACTGTAATGTAGTGAGTGTGGAGCTCTTCAAAATAGCAGCCACTAGTGATGCTTGAGACATCAAGCATCTGGCGGGACATCTGGCGGGACGGGCTGCATCACACTGGCCTCTGTTGCCAGGGAGATATGATTGTGGAAAGCAGAGGGAGTATCTGACAAAAGAGGCCTGGTAGTTGTAGGCAAATAACAAAACAAAAAAAAACTCATCATAACCACCTGAGACAATGTGCTGCAACCTGGGGAAGGTTCACAAGTTCTCGGGATCAGCAGAAGAAATGGTGCGCTGCTGTCAATCAGTTTCTGCTGTGGCAGCCAAACAGCAATAGAGTGCTTATTTATTTATTTATTTAGTTATTGACAGAGTCTTCCATAAATAAATAATAAGGATGGAGAGCAGTCGTGACTAGCACTGCATGCATCTGGAAACTGATACACCTCAGCCTCAAAAACAGACCCATCGCTTCAGCATGGCACTGCGTTTATCAAAAACACTCACACGAGAAGCAGGGTTCCACATCTGATTTATTGTTTCAGAATATGACTAGAAAAGTGAGACAGAGAAAGAAGATTATGTCAAAAAGCATCACATTTTTATTCTACACATTTCAATAAAAACTTGCATACTGTACATCAAATAAAGTGCCTCATACACTGTCTATGACTGTCTCTGAAACACAGCATGAAGGGAACTCATTTGAAGTGTCTGAAAACATACAGTGCTTTATCCAAGGGCAAGTGAATTGTATTTGACTAAAGCCACCCACATTAACACACTCTAATTCCATACAACGTGCTCAAGGTCATCTTGCGCTTTTTCTCTCTAACAATTACAAAAGCTATGTCTTCATTACAGAAAGGCCCACACATTTCCCCTGAGCGGGAAGAATTGTGTTCTCAGTGCTGCAGAGAGCAGCTCCTTCATGGAAATTCGACTCATGAACGTGCAGGAGCTCAAACACACAAGATATTCTCTTGTTACATGAATTTTGAGCTCAGAACACATGCAGAGAATGTGAGTAAAAGCAATGAATTTGGTTTTATCTCCTGTGCTGTAAAATGAGGGATTATGTATGGCTGGTAATCCATTTGAAGAGGGGCTCCTCTGGCTTTAGCTCGGCTTACTGATAGACTGTCCAGACAAATACCCACTCTCCTTCCTCTGGTCTGACCTCCCTCCTGTTGTTAGCAGAGGCAGAGAGGCACTGGCAGGCACGAGACACAGTCAAAGTAAGCGCTGGTCACGATGCGTCACTCCCCTTGACAGCCACAGGGGGCGCACTGGTTCTGCCCACACTGCTTGGCAGGAAGGGCAGGCTCCGAGCCTTGTTTCTGCAGGCAGGCAGTGGTGTAGCATTAACACTTGGAATAGTGACTGTACCTACCTCAGACTGATCAGTGGTCATATGGGCCAATATGGAAATTAGCTGCAAATCTAACTGTCTTTTAATTATTTTTAAATAAACAAGATAATACAGAAAATGTATGATGCACATCAAGGTCAAGGTCACAACCACGCCTTTAGGAGACATATCGACATACATGTCCTGTTGTTATTGTGCCACTGGGTGTCAGTGTGGTGACATACAGATGAAAGTCCTTCAACACTGGCTGAACACAGTGTGGTTTCACTCTTTATCAGCTATTCTCCCCCCTCCCCTCTATTTCCTCTGTCATTCATTCTTTTATCTCCCGCCCCCCCCCTTACCTGTCTGCGAGTGGGCCGCACAGGTTGGTTGTCAGGGTGGTTGGGCGCCCATGGCCCCAGGCTCTGATTGGAGTAGAAGTCCATGGGGTAGACTTCCTTCCAGCCAACCTCCTGTAAAGCCACAGCTGCCTGAGAGATATTGAAAAAGATAATCACAAATAACATAAAAGTAAACAGGTGAGACAAGTGCAATACGTGTATGAGGTGCCACGGTACGCACTGTACCGTATTTGCAGTTTTTGGGCAAACCAGCTGCAGGAAACCACAGAGTGATGAGAAGACACAACAGACAAGACAGGTGTCATAATATTAAACTTGGATAACAGGCAGAGTTGTCATGTTATCCCTATGCAGCTGCACTGCATGACACAACAGCTGTTAGAGGAGAGCAACAGCACTGGCATGACAGTGCTGTGACATAAGTGCAGACTGCTCCATATGGAAGAGAAGTGCCTGTGAATATTGATTCTGAATGACAGAAAGAGCAACTGAATGACTGAACAGATGAATAAACAAGCAGTCTGAATGAAAGAACAAAGCATTTGATTGTTCATTTATCCAACAACTCATTCATCTTTCAAACTATTTAGATACCATGACCTAACTTCATCTTAATACGGTTTTGAATAATTTAGATAATGTATGTAAATATGATGAGAAAAAAAGTTAATATCATAAAACTCTAAAAACAGTTGATTTGAAACATTTGATCCATTAGATAATTTAGTTCAAAGGAAACATAAAAAATGCAGAAAGTGAAGAAATCTCTCCTCTAGTGGGACATAATTCATCACTGTTACACAGATTGTGTGTGGTTTATTTTGGTAGTATTGTGTGTACCAGCACTGACAAGGTAGTGTTCTCTTACACACTGGCCACATCTTTAAATAGAAACACACAAACATGTTTTTTTTTATACCTTCATATGAACAAGAAACAGCAGAGGACAAAAGTCAATAGCAGTAGATAAATATAGCTAATGGATTTTTTCTTTTTCTATGTTTTATAAGTATAACACAGGTAGTGTATTAATGTTAAGGTCAATAAAAGGTCAAATGTAGCACATATCTGATTTCTATGCATGTGGCCTTCAGGTATAATAAACTAATAACATGGCTTTCTTGCTTCATAGCCAGCTATTAAAAGACCATACTGTTTCCTCCTAAACAAACAAACTGTATTCTGGGATAAATCTTTCATTATCTTATTTTGTTGCCTTTCCTTTCCCCAAACATGTTTCTGCTAGAGTCTTCTTCATTTTCTCTCCTCCTCTGCCCTTATTCCATCCGCCTCTCATCTTTAGCTTTTACCCACTGCTCTCCTCCTCTCCCCTCTCACACCAACTACCTCTCTCTATGGAAGCTAGCTTCTCCTGCTAATCCCTGCTCTGACAGGAGAGCCAAGTGTGTCTTATTGACTATAAATATAACATGAGACGCACTGAAAATAAATGCTGCTGCCCCCCCACCCTTCTCCTTGCTCACTCCACCCTCCCATCTCGTTCCTCTTCATCTTCATTGTAAATGCCACAGTCAAAAAGCACAGCGCACTAAGACATATAACACTCATAGGTATTAGATGGGGGGTGAATTAAGAATTATCACAAAAGCACACATATAGACACAGCTGCAAATTATTTAAATGCACAGACATTGTTCCCAAATAGCTAGCGGGGAGAGCAAAGCGAGCTCTAACAAAAAGAGCTTAAGAAAACAGATTGCAGCTTTCCTCATTACAGCGGGGCGAATTTCAGACTACACATGCCCCGTTATAGACCTCAGTCAAAAACAACTCAAAATAATCATCACTTTTTCTTCTTAGGTGAATGCTATCATTATTCTCAATGGCCTCATTCTGAAATGTATGCGCAGCACTAAGCGGTGCACAAAGATGTGTAGTCGGAGAAAAACAGCAACCATTTCAAATCACAATCCGATATTAAAGACAGCAATTCCCCTTGCAGCCATTTCACAGGGATTCAAATCAGTAGCATATCTTTGAGGAAAATCGTTGAATGAATTAATAGTTGACATCAAATGCTAACCAGCAAAGTCACATAATCACACACAACTGCCAAACCCATCACAAACTTGCTACAGCAGCTGCAGCGGCACACAAACAAACACTCGCTTTGAAATGGATCTTTATGGGTTGCTGTCCGATCTCCCCCTCTCTCTCTTTCTCTC